GGGGCACTCCGCGACGTGCTGGAGGCACGGTGGCCGATGTTATCGAAAGGGCGACTGAGGATTGAGGTGCGTAGGCTTGAATAGCCACAGTGTGGTCTGTGTGGCGGCCTCTGTTCACGCCCGCGCCCCCTTACACAAACATTATCCGCGGCGAGGTAATTGGAGACAGGCTCTGTTGGCATTGGGCACACATGTTCTGCAAGTTCACAAGAGACAGCGTCAAGCAACCGGAGCACATGCTATCGCTCGTGTCCGCTCATGGGGAGATGCCCAGAGCCTGGTGGTTGATTGCTATGGAGTGCGTGCGCTACCTCAGCCCCCCCCCCGCCGCGGACGACCCCAGATTACTCGACCCGAAGCGGAGCCTTCCGAATGTTCGATCAACCGGTGCAGTGGCAATGAGAGGTGCGCGTTTGCGAACCAGCCATGCGCATGTTGACGACATGCATGCGCAATGAGGCATGTGAGGTGCGTTGAAGGGAAAGGGCATGATATTTGATGTAGGACGTTGCTCCTCTGGGTTATGTGTAGTGCAGGTCTACGCATGGGGGCTTGTTGAGGCCATTTTTAGCAGTCTCGGGGCGCCTTGGGGCATTATGGGGGTCCTCTGGGGCTGTCTTGGCGTCTTCGGGGCCATCTGGGGCAACCTGCATCGCAAGCGCGTGAGGCTGTCACGAGATGTTGGCTGCCTGCGGCGTCTCTTGGGGCTTCGCTGGGGCCTCTGAGGGGCGTCTTGGACTCCCCTGGGGCCATCCTGTGACGGTTTTCCGTGCTTCTTTTGTTTGGGCTATCGCACACGGGGGGAGGGGTATGGGTGAAAGGGGCAAGGAGGAATGGGGGAGGAGGAGGAGGAGGAGGAATAGAGTAGGAGGACTGGAAGAGGAGGAGGAGGAGGAGGAGGAGGAGGAGGAGGAGGAGGAGGAGGAGGAGGAGGAGGAGGAGGAGGAGGAGGAGGAGGAGGAGGAGGAGGGGAGGAGGAGGAGGAGGAGGAGGAGGAGGAGGAGGAGGAGGAGGAGGAGGAGGAGGAGGAGGAGGAGGAGGAGGAGGAGGAGGAGGAGGAGGAGGAGGAGAGGAGGAGGAGGAGGAGGAGGAGGAGGAGGAGGAGGAGGAGGAGGAGGAGGAGGAGGAGGAGGAGGAGGAGGGAGGAGGAGGAGGAGGAGGAGGAGGAGGAGGAGGAGGAGGAGGAGGAGGAGGAGAGGAGGAGGAGGAGGAGGAGGAGGAGGAGGAATGGAGGAGGAGGAGGAGGAGGAATGGGGAAGGAGGAGGAGGAGGAGGACAAGCTAGATGCGCTCGCGTCTTATCTGACGTCCTACTCCTCCCTCCCATTCTTTATCATGGCGTGGACCCCCTCTCTATTCGCATCGTCGGATGTTGAGCAGGGCAAGTATCCCCAACGGGTACGAGATGCACGGAAGTGCGCGCCGTAGCACGACGTAGCGTGGCGCAGAAGAAAGATGGCAGTTTCCAGTGCCATGGCATGGCACTGGAAATGGGGCCAGCGCTGCAACGGGAACACGATTCGGAACGAGCAGAAGCGCGAACATGATGCCAGCGCGGTAGCGGAAGCACGATTCGGAACGAGCGGACGCGCGGAAACGATGCCAGCGCTACAGCGGGAGCACGATTCGGATCGAGAGGAAGCGCGGAACTGAGGCCAGCGTTGCAGCGGGAGCACGATTCGGATCGAGCAGAAGCCCCAACATGAGGCCAGCGTTGCAGCGGGAACACCATGCTGGAACCAACAAAAGCGGCAGGATGGGAAACACCCATGCAAACATCCAATTCTCAGGCATCCGACGTGTCAGAATTCAATACGCGGATGAGGGGGCGCGCTCCTTCATGGGTGTCGTCGAGCGGAGGGTAGTACCTATTGTGAGTAATTGTGGGGGAGGAGGGGTAAGAAGAGGATGAGGATGAGGATGAGGAGGAGGAGGAAGGGGAGGACAAGAAGGAGTTATTGATACCAGTCGCAAAGCGAATAGGAAGTGGGGAGACGGAAAACGGGTGATGGTGATGATGATTTTGTTGGTGCCGCCGATGATGATGTTGGTACTGCTGCTGGGGTGGAGGAGGAGGAGAAGTAGGAGGAGAAGGAGCAGGCGGAGGAGACGGATACAGAGGAGGACCATGCGAGGGAGAATGCAGACTAGGATGAGGAGGAGGCGGAAGAGGGATGACAGGGGAGGATTATGCGTAGGCGGAAGAGGCGGAGCGGGAACGGTGGTGGTGGACAAAGATGAGTTATCGAGACCAGTCGCGACGCCACTAGAGAGGAAGGCGCAGGAGCACGGATGAGGATCATGATGATGCTGATGATGGTGATGAAGATGATGCTGGCGCTGATGCTGATGCAGATGTCGGTTATGATGCTGATGCTGCTGGCGATGCTGATGATGTCGTTGATGGTGATGATGATGAAGAGGAGGCGGCGGAAGCTGACGATGCGGATGCTGACGCTGATGATGCTGATGCTGATGACGACGATGATGCTGCTGATGAT